AAATCATATAATGATTGAGAGAAAATTCATAGAAAGATTTCAAGAAATATCCGAAAGTTGGTGGATAATAGTATCTATCATCATACCAATAAAGAAGTGAATGCACAAGTTTTATGGAATAAATTGAAAAACATGTATGCACCCATCAGAGCTCATCAGCCAGAACAATGACAACGTATAAACTATAGTTCGAAAACAAACATTTAATGATTAATAGATTATATGAAGAACAGACATGTGTATTGGCAAATAAGTGCATCTTTGAGTTCTCTATCCTCGAAGGTGTAAGGAGAGATCGAGAGAGCTTCTTTATTTGCAATAAGTTTTTAACTTTAACCCGACGATACATAGATATTATCGTTCAACATCATTTCTTAAGATTTTCAGAAATATATGAGTCCATTAAAGCGTATTCCATCAACCATCTTGAAATGCAAATAGACTCTTATGGGCATTTCAAGACCATTGATGGCGTCGACATTTCTTTAAAACTTGAAGGTAAGCTTGAAGATCAACAGTTTAACGTTGACTCTATCAACTCTCTCATGGATCTTTTCGATACTTATTTGAAAATTCTAATCTTACAGTTCCAGTCTACGAATTTATAATGTTGGTTGTCCCGCCCACGTGACAAATTAAATTAAATAAAAGAAAGGTGTTGGCATTTTTTGAGAACTAACATAAAATAAAAGAGTTTTCAATTTTTTTACTCTGCACAAAATTTGAAAAAGTTAAAAAACATCATAATTTTTTTGTTCTCTCTTAATCACGGATTCAGATCGAGAAGGGCAGAAAGGTTTTATCTTTAGACAAGAAAAATAAAGGTAAAATAGTTTCAAAATTATTATTCGTTTTCCTGTGCACATGTACCAAAGAAAAAAGAAAATGAAGGGCTTGTTTTTGTGCACAGAAATCAAGGACAAAATAGAGCTGATTTTGTGCTTCTTCTTTCAATCACAGGAATCAAGAATAATGTTTGATTTTTGTAATCTTTCTTTCGGTTTATGAGAAATTGAGTTTATTTAGAAAAACATGGATATACTTTCTTCATTATTGGTGATTTCAAGTGTGAATTACTTGAGAATATTTTATACTTGGTTTTTTAATAGTGAATTTGGTTCGTAGTTTGGTCGCTAGTTTTTTTCTCTACACTAGAAGGTTTTTTTTATATAAATTTATGTCTCGTTATTTTTGTGATTAATTTTTTTTTATTTACATTGATTTTGATTTACATTATTGATTGGTTTGAAATTGTGGATTGAATTCGGCGAATTAATTCTGTGATTACTTTAATTTACACAAATTATTAGATGTTTTGAAGATACATCAAGTACGAAAACATAGTCGTGATGTCAACAAGTAGCTTAATTATTAAATACTACAACTTTTTTTGTGGTGGGAATTGAATCCTACCAGCTTGTACGCCAGGAAGTATAATAATCACATTTATTACATTATACAAATATAATTTCATTTTAAAATAATATAAAAATATAATTGAATAAAATTTAACTAAATGTTAAATATTTACAAAAAATATATATATATATATATATGTCAATTTAAAAAAATAAAAATTGTTTAGTAGTAGTGGAAAACATGATCTCTTCCTTGCAAGTACGCTTCTATCCAAAACTGGAAACAGAAACCTTGAAGGAGGAAATCCAGATATTGCATATCGGGTTGGGACGAGGCAAAAGGATGGAGCTGCCTCCAACGAAAAAGTGCAAATGGTAAGGTCATTGGTAATTTCAAAATTTTGGAAACAAAAATTAACAATGATATTTTACTTTTTGAATACAATTAATATGAAGTCATCCTCTCTTTAAATATATATATATATATATATATAATAAACTTCAGCAATTCTTTTTGCTTGCCTTCAAAAATTCTGTTACATAATGTTATTCATAAAAACTAAAATGCAAGTTTAGCTAAACCAATATATAAAATGTATCAGTAAATGAAAAAGTTGGAATGTGTAAGCTACATATTTGGGTTTCAGAGTTTGTTTGGATTTTTATGGGTTAATGGGTTTGGGTGGTTTTTAATGGTTTCAAGGATTTTAGATTTCTGGGTTTAAGAGGTTTAAAGGGTGTGGGCTTTTGGGGTTTAAATCTTTGGGTTTAAGGGTTAACAAAGTTGTGTTTGTTTTGGGTTTAAAGGTCAATGGGTTTGAGTCATACGCCCAGAAGAGAAGCTAAAAAGCAGAATTCAGATTTCTTCAAGTGTCATTCAATAATAAATCTATTAAACGATTAAAACTTTACATCATCAATCTAATTATTAAACCAAATTTGAAACTGAAGAAAATAATTGAATCACTTAAACTGGTTGTTTGAGCAACTGGAGTAAGCAATGTCTAACTACAATGAAATTCATTTTTTCTAATATTTTTAATTTATACTGTTGCATTTACTATATATTTTGATGCTTGATTTCTCATCATAAACCGTTAAAATTCATATATATTTTGAGTTTTCATACTTGTTGGAATGTCAGATTTTTTATTCAAATTGTTAATAATGTCATTAAGTTAATCAAAAAGGATGTTACAGAGCATAAATATATATGTTATTATTTCAGATTGTTAAACTTTAAATGTTAGTACAAACATTTTATTTTCTCATATGTTACTTAGTTCTTATCTAAAACACATGATTTATTTTATTGTTGCAAACTAAAATGGTACTTAGAATTTTTTAAAAAGAAATTTTGTTATTGCAAGAATCATTAAAAATCTAGAATGTCAAATCATATGTTTAAGTCCTCTAAAATTTCATTCATACAAAATTACATACTTTAATATTTGTTAATCAAATTTAGATTAGAAAACACCATACTTAGTAAGGATAATATGATTAATTC